AGCCAACTTCCCTGATGCCACGCTGGCTCACGTTGCCCTTGGCCACTCTTACTGTGGCCCCAAAACAGCCTGGGTCGAAGACTGAAGGTCTGTTCAGTTTCAAATGATATGAGGAATACCATTCACCCGACACTGAGCCCACAGCGAATGCTGCTCCACGCCGTAAAACAACGGGAGCCACTGAACGTCTTGGCACCCTTCTTCGTGCGGGACAGCTTGGGCTTCTTCACGACCTGAATACTCATCCGAGTCTGACATATCAAACTCAATCTCGTTCAGAAGCGGGGCAGACAAGTTCAATCTATCTCAAACAATGACGAGGTTCAGGCCTGATATGGTTTAAGCCTTGAAGCCTCTAACTTACTTTATGGCTGGGCTCCCGGGCCACTTTCAAAGCAAGAGGTGGAGCCTGGGGCAGCTCCAGTTCAAAGTGGCCGACATGCGTAGCAGAGCCCTTCTTGAAGACATGGGCCACGTTTGGCCAGGATCGGTTCTTGTTCAGCGGCAGATAACCCTTGAGGCGCAGGATGCCCTTCTTCAGATGCACCTGCAAGTGCAACTGATGTGTAGGGAGCATCCGAGTTGCCATGCTGCCGGCCTTGTGGGCCGGCTTCTTCGTGATTGAGGATTTCCTGAGTATGCTATGGAAACCGAAACATGACTTGCACTTCCCAAGCAAAGTGTGTCACACAACGTCAAACAGTCAAAGCCAAAGATCGCTGGCGGGTTCTCTTCTTCAGAGTCGGTCAAGGCGCCAACATGCTGCGAGACTGGCATCCTAAAATATATCTTGGGGATATGGTTTGCGCAGTCTCTCGAAGTTGTCTGCCCAATACTGGATGATTTGGTCCTTGCATGTTGTGCTTGGAACATCTCATTACGCAAGTCGCTCTTCTACATGTTGCAAGACTGGCATCTGAAAAAATAACAGCTTGGACATATGGCGGGGCACTCTCTAAAAGTTGTCTGCAAACACAGGATGCGGTCCTTGCAACAGCCCTTGGAACATCTTCACATGCCAATGCACACGACATGCAACACTTCAGTTTGCCACATGAACTTGCTCTGTCACCTGACCTCAGCACGGAAAAAGACGGATGCTGTCTGCGTGGTCTTTATCTTGTCTTCTTGTCTGGCTCTGAACATGAAGCGGCGACCCTCGCCACATGATGTGATCTCCGGACCGATGAAGCAATATTTGTACTGACCGATGGTGAATTGCGCACAAAAACAGAAATCAACGTTCGGAAGCACTAATCATCTGTAACTGTTATGGGTACAAAGGGTACAACGATACCACCCAAAAGCGACCCCATTCCTGAGCACAAATTGAATGAATGAGTGGCAGTGGGCGCGGGCGCGAAACCTAAAATTCAAATTCATCAACTAAGCATGGATAGAGTGTGGCGTCCCAAAACCGAAGAAGGAGTGATGGCATCCCAAGCCGAAGAAGGAGTGATGGTTTGTGGCGCAAACCCGGACCCCAGAAAGGCAACATCAAGCCAACAAAAGCTCGACCACCAGTTCATTTTCGACACCCGATTGCCGGGAAATTTCTTTATTTTTGTAATATAAGTTGCATAAATCGTAGGAAAAAATAAGTTTTTCATATTCTGCAATGGAAGTATTTAAATTGGGAAAACAAACTGCATGATTAATTGAAATTCGACTGTCATTTCGTTTTCAAAATCCTGTTGCAATTGATTTCATAAGTTAGAGTAGTGCTGCCTGCATCATTCAGGCTGTGCTGCTGATGGCACTTCATGACTTGTACGGTTGATGCGTGGTGGTGATGCCAGGTCCCTGTTGCCTACTCTGTCTGTGTGTGTGTGTGTGTGTGTGTTTGTGTGTGTGGGTGCTTGTGTCTGTCTGTGTGCCAGGCTACGGACAAGCGTGTGATGCCTGGTTCCAAGATGTTCTGGGTGTCCTGACGTCTGGGCACGTGCACTCCTTGCATTCGAACACAATGTGGCAGCCGTGGTGTCCAAGTTGCCTGAAGCTGCTGTAGTGGGATTGCTGGTGTTACAGGTTCGGCATGTCGAATTGCGAGGAGCGGCCGACGATGACCGGGTCTTCAGGTTCGGAGCCAGTGTTGGTGGACACGCCGTCGCCATCGAGGAACAAAACACAGCCGGCGCGAGTTTTCATGGTACTCCGAAGGGTTTGGATGTGGAAGGCAGGTTTACAAAGGTTGTCATGGTATTTTGGAGCGTGTTAGAAGGGATTTAGAAGGTCTTGAATGGTGTTTTGAAGGATTTGAGAATGGCTTTACGGATGACGGTGATGTCAGCCGGTCGGAGCCGGGAGGGAAGGGCAGCAATCCTGTGGGGAATCCGGACACAAGCCAGTGCCATCCCATTCACAACGCACAGGTGGGAATATACCAGTGTGAAAATCGTTCGAAAGCAAGTTGTAGGAACCTTTTCGGTGCCCCTCTTTTTTTCATAGGGCTTCGATACTTCGATGCCAGAACTCGACATAGCATGATGATAGAAACGATGGCCTGGGGATGATATTAAGGTGTTGTTGTTTTCGTCGTGACAGTATAGTGTTCGGTGGAGATTGATTGTTTTTTTTTTTTCGTTTGGGCCTTTTTTTGTTGCTGCTTCTCCTTGGGTTTCCTAGGGAAAACACAATTTCCTTGCGGTTTGGACGAATTTAGTGTGATTTTCTTTGGTTTGTTTTAAAGAAAACATATGTTTTCGTTGATTTTTCCCAGGGAAAGCAATGTTTTTCTTACATGTTGGACGGATTTGGTGCGATTCCCCTTGGATGTCCGCTGGAAAACCTACAATAACTCGTGTAAAACATACATTATCTTAGGTTTTCCTAGGGACAACGCCTTTTCTTACCATCGTGGACGGACTTCGTGTGATTGTCTTCGGTTTTCTTTAGAAAAACCTACAATACGTCGAGCGAACAGTACGTAACCTTGCGTTGTTTTTAGGGAATAAACCGTTTGCCGTACATTTTGGACTTTGCTTCTTTTGCTTGGCTTTACCCAAGAGAATCACTATTTTATGGTGTGTGTATATATATATATGTATATATACACACATTTTATATATATGTATACTATAAATATTCTATATACTATATATGCTATATATACTATATATACTGTTTATACTGTATATACTATATATACTATATATACTATATATACTATATATACTATATATACTATATATACTATATATACTATATATACTGTATATACTGTATATAGTATACATACTATATTTACTACATATACTATGTATACTACATATATATACACACCATATTTACTTTACTTTTTATACTGACATACTACCGTCCTTCCTTTCTTCCTTCTTTCTTTCCTTCCTTGCTCCCTTCCTTCCTTCCTTCCTTCGTTTCCTCCCTCCTTGCTTTGTTTCTTTCCTTTCTTCCTCCGATCCTTCTTCCTTGCTTCCTTGCCCCCCTTCCTTGCTTCCTTGTCTCCTTGCTTTCTTCCTTCCCCCTTCCTTCCGTCCTTCCTTCCTTCCTTGTCTCCTTGCTTTCTTCCTTACTTCCTTCTCTCCCTTCTTCTTTCCTTCCTTCCTTCCTCCTTCCTTGTTTCCTTGCCCAAAAAAAATAGGTTCCCAATAGTGTTATTCGACGAGGCATCGGTGTTTGGAATCATGCTACAAATAAATGCGAAGCCTTCTTTTTGACCCTGAAAGCAGCTTTGGCGAGTTTGCGGTTTGGGGTTTAGGACCCTGAACCTGCAACCTAATCAGATTTGGCTGAAACTCTCAGGGTCTCGACGTTGATATCTTTAGCATGTAGCGAACCTGCGAAACTCCCAAACCAATGAACTCCATCGACTCCATCACAGCGGTTCGACTTTCCGAGTTGGATGCTCCTACCTCATCAGAGTTTCTAGAACTTTATTTACGGTTTGGGGGATCAGGTTCCCAGTTCTTCAGGTTTTTCACCTGGTTTGGGTTCTTATGATGTAAGTTGGTATTCGTCGGAAAGAGTCGGTTATCCTTTCTAGGCTAACTGGGTAGTGAGAACCTCCCCAAGCCTCATATTTGCGAGAACCCATCATGATTCGCCTTCGATCCGACATCGCAGAAGGTTTGTGACAAAAACTATAATGTTGACTCATTGACTCCTAACACAAAACCAAATCATATCAGAATATGAAGTCTTTATCATCAGACAAAGGTCTTCAGGCAAAACTGTCGTATAACATCGCATGCCAGTATGATCCTCAATCTCGGGGGACCGACATCGTAGTTCTGGCCATGCCCGAAAGATGGCCCCAGCAACAGGACGCCAGGCATATGTAGGCCTTTTTCCCGATAGAAGTCAGTCTTATTCTGAACGTTTGAAAATGCCTTGTTCCTTGGAAGCTAGAAGACACCCAGACCATCAGAACAAGACTGCTGCATGCACGCCATTAGCCAGGCATCGTGGCGAGCTTCCAGTGGCAGCAGATGTCCCTCATCTCGCCACTTGGTTTCGAAAGCTGGTGGTCGGGCGTACACTCGGAGAGCCCACAACCCCATATTTAGTGAACCGACCGCGGACGTTCAGTGGCTTTTCTTTAGGGCGGGGGCATTGCTCTTTTCGGGTACACTTTCGCACGCCCCTCATGTTAAGCCACAGATCGTTCTGCAGACACCACGCCAGGAAGAGCACTACCAAGACTAAGTAGGTGCTACTTGCTTGTAGGTACGGTTATTCCGAGCCACTCGGTGCACCATTCTAGCAAAGCGCTGGCCGTAAGCTTACGGGTATACGCCAGACAGCTCGATCATTTTTAATTCACAGGTTATCAATGGATGCAAGTACTTCGAACCTCCCGGATGTTGGCGGCTCGAGTTGTTTGCGATGCGGGGTGAGGGGGTGTTGTGCTTTCGACACTACCATGCAAAAACGGTATTGGAGTCTAGGGGTCCACTGGGTTGAAGAGCTCTTTGGTGGTTATATAGGACAGCAGCGCAACGCTATCATAGTGCTATCATATAGTTGCTTGTAGGTCCCAGATGGAGGTGCCGGGCACGTGACACTTAATTGTACCCGGACGTCTAATCCAGTTCTACATGTAGCTAAGTGGGCAGGCATATGGCGTAACAGCAGGGTAGTCAGGTAGTAGTCCGCGACCTCCGACCGTGCAGCTTTGCCTTGCGCAGCCCAGCTCCCAAGCATATACCGGGTGTTAAGGGGTTCTGTTATGGTTTTAAAAGGGTATTAGCCCTCGGCCTGTGCACCTGCTCTTGTAGTTACCTCAACCTTTCACAAGCAAACCCTAAACTCCAATCCAAGAAGCGGCACGAACCCTTAGCAATTCCACTCTCAACGCCATGGTCGCAGGTTGGGCCTCGCGTCCTTCATTTGCCTCCTCATAGCCTTGGGAGTGGGGACGCTCAAGGATATTCGATTGTGCTGGGTTTTCGACTTCGGATTCTGGGTAAACCGGTAACCTGCAGTTGGGGGTTATAGGGTCCAGGGGTTCGCACGGGCTGCTAGGTTGCGGCTTGCTCAACAAATCTTTGCAGCTTCTTTTCATTGTCCTTGCTGCGCTTGAAGTCCAACGGGTTTGGGCGGCAGCCCTAAGCGAAGCCCCAAGCCCACAGGGCTTGAGACTCAAGGATGATGGGTCGAGATTGAGGCTCGGAGGGTGTCGGCACCATGGCAAGAGATTGCGATTCAGCAGCCTAGGCTCTCCGAAGTCCGGTAGCTAAGCCGATTCCTTAAGCGTAAAGTCTGCCTACTTGTATGTCTGGTTTCCTGTGGTCGAATTGAACGTAACATTTCACAGTACCTGGCCCGAAATCAAGAACTTTATATGCCTGAAGTGACCTTCAACAGGATACACCAGTATCCGACACAGAAACCCTGTGCTTTCTGAACGTTGGTGCCTTCATCATGAGGTTTGGAGGCTTTCGAGGTTCGGCACGCGCTTCGAGATTACGTTTTTGGATGTATGCTAGCTTGGCTCTAGTCTGCTGGTCGGCTTGGCGCCGTAGCTCTTTTTCGATGGGGCTCTTATCATTACTCTTGTTGTTACTACTATCGAGACGGCTTTTGGTTTAACCTGCTGAGGTGGGGGCGAAGGGCGGCATATTCGGGGCCGACGCTAGGAAGGGTGTACTTGGAGGCTCAAGAGCTACAGGAAGGAGCCTACACGTGGTGGGGGGGTTAACACCAATCAGGGCAGAATTGAAAGTCGTTGGTTGATCCGACTTGCTGGGTCGCCTGACCATGATTGTTCAAGGAAGAAGCCATAGGTCCGAATCCTATCTCGTGGCTTACTACACCCCGAATCCCTGTGGCCCACACCCCTTACTCAGGGTTTCCGAAGAAGGGCTGAAAAAGGCATCATCTTAAGGAAGATGATGTTAGGATACCTAGCTCTGCAATCTGTTGTGTCCTGTTTAATGAAAGCTCTAAACGTGCTGGAATCCGTTTACAACACAACATGCTTGTCTCCAGCTGAATAACACTGACAAAGAACCCCGATGGATAAGAACCCGCCTGTTTACGAGCCTTACCAGTTGGATCTCTGCTATAGTCCGCTTCGAGGTGGCGGGGGGTTCTTGGTCAGGGTACCCTAAATAGTAGGATCCTTATTATAAGGACCTCAAATATCGTAAGGGATCTACAGTCTTCTGGCCGAGGGTTCTGCTGGCGTGCAACCCTTTGCTGCAGCCCTGGCGGCACTTCTGGGTGTCGATCTCAGGAGCTTTCACGGGGTTTAGGACCTGATGACGTAGGGCGTATAGGATAGGTTTTGTTTTGTTTTTGATTTAGGTTTGTTGTTTTTTTTTTAGGGCTTAGGGCCGATGGGGTTTCAGGGTTTTTAAACAGCTGTATGTACTGTTGTACAGTAGCCCGCTTTCCTCAGGGTTTCTCCAGAGAATGCGATGGCAAGACGCGTAACCCTTGTTATTCGGCTGAACCGAAAACTGCAAGCCTGAATCTTACCGTTAGACCCTAAGACCTGAAACATGAATCATTTAACTCAGCCGCAAGAAGAACATTCTCATTGGGCTCTCAAGATGTGGATTGCTCAAGATGCCACTAGCACGGCTGATCAGCAGGTATTAACATTTGTGTAATTGTATATCATCATGGGTATGATTGAACTGATGTTTTTGAAGCGGTGATGGGCCTCTGTAGGAAGAATGGCCAACCAGAAGAGCTCAGTATTATAGATAATGGGGATACCTGGCTTTCTCCTATAAGAGCGCTAAGGCGGGGCTGAGTCTTGGAGGCGTGTAGCACTTCATGTGTCTAGGGGTGGGTGGATGAGTCTTTGGAGTTGGGTTTTTCTCTGGAGAAGCCAGCCTTTTCTCTGTGATGTCCTCAAACTGCCGATCCCATTCCTGAGGCTCATCTTGGGATCCTTCCTGCCTTGCTCTCTAAAAAATGCAATTCAATTCCAACGGTCGTCGAAGAGTCCTTTTGGCCTTCGGTCTAGCTGAAGGCTCATGAGACATAGTAAACCCTGGATGCTTTGGGTTATGGTTACCCATGCAAGTGGGAGACCACATTCAGACGCTATCTGCTCTACCTGCAGACCTAATCCTTGGACTGGCGAATATGACCACCTGCTTCTGCGACCCAGGCACTGCAGCATGTATTTCCACCGATCGATGTTCAGTTCCGTTAGCCGCAGAAGCAGCGTGACAAGCTTGTGAAGCCATCAAGTCAAGTTCTGAGTCTTGGTTGGCTGCATCGTTGGAGAATGGATGGTACTCAAACGTCCCATCATGAATATGCAGCCTCACGCCTCTCTGTCCACAGCGCACCGAGTGTTGGCAAAGACTCCCCAGACAAGCTGCAGCTTCTCTTCTGCCGAGATCGTGCCTGGGCCTGCTTGAAACCCTAAACCCGAAACCCCAAAACCCTGCTCTTCAAGAAGGCGTTGTCGCATAGTCCCTTAAACATCTGCATCGACGTCATCTACTTTCTAAGTCCCCTGCGCCTCTAGGTACAGTCTGAACCGCAGACAAGAACCCACTCGAGTTCCGCATGCCTGAGGTTGGCTGGTGGTCTATGCCTACCAACTACAGGCAAAGCGCAAAACTGCAATCGAGGAGGTCTAATTCTTTTACGGGCTTTCATACGAGGATTCCGTTAGTCTTCTTAATGGACGGATGTTTATTTGCCGGCGAGCGGTCTACACTCCAAACTGCAAGAAGCAGGCGATGCAACCCGATTACACGCCACGCGGCTCCTCAAACCTCACCCTGAACCCTAACTCCCACCGACCATCAGAAAGCCCTTGGGGGACAGAGACTTGGATTGGCGTAGACATGGACTGATGTACAGCGCTAGAGGTAGTATGTTAGAGTAGTGAGAACCCTGAAAGGGTCCGAGTCCATGTGCTTCATGTCGGGTTTCTCAGCATGGGCGTTCCCCGTATAAAGGATGCTGCAATGTAGGGTTCCGGCCAAAGGCGCTGTACTTTGCAGGACCCTGTGCGGCCTATTTGTCTGCACCATGAATATGAATACATGTATATTTGTATGTATGAATATACATACATGTGTATATATGATATATATATATATATATATATATATACACATATAGATATGTATGCATAGGTCGACACGACTAGATAGATATTGATATAAATATAGGTATATGTAGAGATACAGGTATAGATACCTATATGTATGTATGTATGTATATGTACATATATATATATACATGTATGCGAACAGCAAGTATAGTGTGCAACATGGACCCTCCGTTAGCAAGTTTGTTGGGTTCGGAAGAAATACTAGCAATATCCCCTGCTAGTCCCCCCCCCCCCCATTTTTCAAGACGGCTAGATTTCTTGTGAGGGCTTGCGTGGCAGCAGGGGCTTTGGCATCCTTAGCATCATGATAATCGGTTTTAGACGACCGGCGAGCAGGGTTCAGGGTTATGGTGTAAGGATTGCCCTTGCTATGTAGGTTCATGAAGGGCTTGATCCAGGGCACTTGTTCAAGCTGCGAATCTTTCGTGTTTTGTCATATGTCCATGCCAGGATGAAACTGCAAACAAAACGCACCCTATGTGCATCCATCTTCTCGCGGTTCCCTGTTCTTACGAGGGAAATGTACGTGCTTCCTTGGTTAGTCCTTCCGCCTTCACGCTGGTAAATGGCAATTTGTGTGACTCGCGCTGCCGATGTTCTGACTCTGAGTGCTGGCAATATCAACATGTTGATTCCACCATGCAGCCTCCTCGAGCAGGTGCAGTGCCACCGCCTCGTCGTGTCCCTGGCATTGATCAAGCACCGAGTGGCCAGAGCGGCAGGTCCTCGGGATCCTGTTTACCATAGAGGACTAAATAATCACCAATACCTATACTATTTTGGGGGGGTTCCATACTGTAAGTATAGTATACCGGGCCCCGAAACCGTCTTCAAAAAAAGAGGCACCTATAGTAGGCTTTTAGGACGCAGGCTAGGCCCAGTGCCAGATCTCGAAGCACAAGTGCCGGCCAGGAGCTCACGTGGAAAGCGAGATCGACGCCCGCCCCGACCTTGTCGTCGCTTGAGTTATGCGGCATGCAGGGCTTGTAGCAGAATTTCGGGTTCGCTTGGTATTTGTAGGATTTCGGGTTCAGGTTGGGGTTGTGGACTGCGGGCGGGGATTCAGAAGTTGCATCGTTGCCACAAGTCCTAGGGCGCAAACTTCAATTCGAGGGAGTTCTACCTGCAACCTATCACCCTGGAGAGCTTGACAACATAAACACATGCCTCATCGCTTCCCCCTTCCCCACTTTCGCCCTCTCCCTGCCCTCTCTCTCCCTCCCTCCCCCCTCCCTCCCTCCTTTGTTTCGGGTGTTTGGGTGTTTGTTATTTGCGACAAGCAAAGTCACAGAACCCTGTCGTTTCAGCTTACAAAAGGTATTCTCCCCATGAAGATTGCCGGGCGAATGACCGTGTCCATGACTGTCTTGCTTTAGCTAACCAGGAACTTAAAAAACCAATGCTAGGCCAGTCCTACGACCGCAATAGATAGAAGTTGCGGGCGTACGTGCTTCCGAATCCTGAGAGGAGCACTCGAGTAAGGTTACCTAAACCGTCAAGCCGTTCATTCCGGAATGTCAGATCCCTGGACCCCCTCAAAACGCTTCCCCAACCGATAACTGCCCTAACTCATTGTAACCCCCTTGGCACAAGGATGACAACAGCAACCCGATTTTTTTGACCTTCCAGGAAATAACGGTTCGCTAATCCGGGGTCTACATTGCTTGGAATGTAACTTCATATTCCTATCAGTCGAGCATCTGCCAAGCCCATAATAACCGTCCAAATACTAGCTTACGAGCCTACATCCCGAAACACATATAGCAACAACAGGCCGGTGCTTCCAGGCCTCGACCCAGATTGGTCATTATGAAAATACATACAGAAGTTTTATAACGCCTTTCCACTCGTATAAAACCCGATAAACGCCGGAGGAACGAGTCTGCATATTAATGCTAGAGGCTTTATGGAACCTGCAGGACCCCTTGTAGAAGATTTTTCATGCTACCCCTGCACTCATATGCCTGCATTCAGGCCTCGAAGCAGATCTGACCAGCGTCTCGAGCGCTTACGCGCCCGGAGCCTTGCCATTTCCAGCATTCGGAAGTACCTTGCGAGGGAGATTCGACTGGGGCTTTCAGTGATTCAGAGTTCCTTTGAAGCGTTTCAAGAGGATTCCCATTTACTATACAGATTGCAACAGGATTTATTGGGTTTAGGCCTTGGGGCTATTAGCCTGTTTTGAGGATTTGGGATTCAGGATTTTGGGTATCTGGAGCTGGGCTGTAGGTTTTTTTTGCAGTGTTCAGGTCCATTAGGATGTTCGTTTTACGGCTGTAGGGTTTGGGGGCTGTGCGGCTAGCGGGTGGGAGTTTGCACGCTTCAGGAACGGCATTCCTGGGCAACATAGGCAGCTAACGGCTTGGAGGGGTTGCGGCTGTTGATGCGCATGGTTGTCAACAATGCTGCAGCTGCAAAGCCCTAAACCCCGAACCTCGAAGGCTCGAAACTCAAAGACTTTGAACCCCTCAACCTTGAACCCATACATCCTAAAATCTCAAACTCCCGAACTCTAAGCCCCAAACCCCAGTCTTGTCGCCGTTCTTGCTCAAAGAAACACTGCTGGAGCTTGGGGCTTAGCCAACAGGGTTCAGGGGTTGAGTTTTTAGGGCTTTTGGGGTTAGTCGCACTGTAAGGTTTAGGGCAAAGTTTAGGGTGTAGAGTGTGGAGAACCCCGAAGCCCAGATCTCTTGTGGTTCGGGGGTTTCGTTCCAAGATCTGTGAGATCACGAGGTTGTGTCCGGTCTTGGACCAAGGCAGAGCCTTTCGAAACCGTAGAGGCAACGCTTTTCCCTCAACCTGAGATTGTGCGAGCAGGCTACGAAGACAAAGCCGGAAGTAGAATCTACTATGCAACAGAATCCTGCACCGCACTAAATCCCTGACCTTGGACCCTAAGCTGCACCAATATAGAGGGCGGAATTTTGCATCAATACTAGCTGAGTCCTGAAATCCCCGAACCCTACTGGAATCAGTAAGACCCCTCTCTCTCTCTCTCTCTCTCTCTCTCTCTCTCTCTCTCTCTATATATATATATATATTGTATATATACCAGTCACTAACTCCTGAATACTATCAGTCCGGAGCCCTTTTCTCGTGGAGTTTCAGGGCACTTCAAGTCTACTTCAGGTTGCTTCGCAGCCAGTATATATATATATATATATATATATATATATATATTCATATATATATATATATATAGACACATACATACGAACATAGTACATACTTACATGCATACATACATGCATACATATTGCTTGAACAGGAAAGCCTTTAAAGTAAGCCCTATAAAGCCTGAAGCCTTATGTAACCTGTCGACGCCGAAAGTACCGTAGAACGGTTCCGAAAGAAGTGGCAACATGCCTTGCTCTTTGTATTTTCAAGATCAATACTGGAGTTTCCTAGAGACCACAGCAATCCACAACGTTCCCGCCACCATCAGGTGCTACGACGGGCGAACCATCACAGAACCCCATGACAAAAGCATGTATAGACTGTCCGATAGAGCTCTTATACAAGCCTATGACCCCCTGCAGGCCCTGAAAGAATTCTTTTACAGTCCCACAAAAATGGCCATGGAGAGTCTCCGTGAGTGGCGCTGCTGGTCTGCTACTTGGCTTTATGCCTGAGCTCATTTAATTTAGGGGCCTAAATAATTCCCTCTACTATTTTGGTGGTTCCTTATTCTGACATGTGGCATAATGCAGCCACCACGTGGTTCAGGGTTTAGGCAGACCATTTCTAGGTTGTGCAGCGTTTTGCTTTATTGCTCGCCTTCAGTCGCATTCTGTTGTTGGTTTCTTGGTTTTCGTTCTTCCTAAACAACCACAAGAAGTAAATAACGTATTTTCCCAGGGGTTGCTGCAAAGCCTGGCTGCTGGCTTTCCATTCAGCCAGGTTCACAAAGTAAAGGATGTGTGGGTGCCGAGCCTAAATTGCAATCACTAGCATTGCATCATAAGCCCTGGCAAGGGCAACCCCAAGTTGCCCCGCGAAGGTTCAGCATTCAGGATTTCAGGGCTGAGGGCATCGGGTTTACTATGCCAGCCTTGCAGTTCTCTTGCGAGGTATCGATGATAAACTCTGTATAGGACAAACGCTTCTGGACAGCCAAAGCCTGATCAACAACCTTCGAGAACACCTTGAGCCTCAAGCCTAAAGAAGGTAGGTATGGTTTCCGCTTTGCTGTGATAAATGACTTTGGTCCTCAGAGGGGGTGACTATGGCTCGGAACCGGAAGTCGCGTCAGCGACACTCGAGGCTCCGCAGCTGCAGGAGGCAGACAAACAGCAATCTCGGACAGAGCTGTACACTGTAGCAGAAGACGGCGGCTGAACACGACTTGGACCCTAAACCCATGGGCCCCACATCTCCATCTTGAACAGCCGTTGTACTGGGGTAGAGCCTGCACAAAACCCTTTCAAGTACTTTGATCATAGGAGAACCCCTATGGAGGCTGCTTGGCCTCTCTTGGACTGTTTTGGCCTCATTCTCTCGGCCTGCTTGGCTTTCGAGCAGGTGCGGGTGCCTTGACATTAAGGCTTGAGCATCTGAGGTGTCGATGAATCTATACTTCCTCGGCGTTATTCGGTTTTTAAACCCCAATGCTAATCACCTCAACTTGGGGAGTATGAGAGAAGCCAAGCAAGGGTAGGAGTGCAGTTCGGAGGTTCGAGCCATCGCTTTGGGGTTTTAGCTACAAGGTTGCAGCTTTCTATGGTGATCGGTGGGATGCTGCAGGGCTTCAGGGTTTCAGGTTGCGGAATTTAGCTGTTTTAAACTCTCACGGAAGCCGAGTAGAACCATTTCAGCGCTTTATAAGCCCGCTTATAAATACCCACATAATATAGAACTACTATATATAAGTATAATTTCAATAAGCGCGAACCCCAATCCCGAAACATAGCGAACGAGCCCTGGAGACGACTGTCCTCTGAAGGGAAGCGTGCGTATGCACCAGTTAAGGGTTTGGACCGAGTTTTGTGTTGATGTTTGGGGCTAACAGCTTAATATTAGGCTTATTGGACAGGTCAGTGCCATCGGTTGGTCTTTGCATGCGCCGGCTGTCTGCAACGCATCTTGGCGGACATCTCCTGATGTTCTTTTTGTTTGCATGTTTGTTTGTTACCAAAAGTATAAGATTAGATTATGAGGTGGGCTCTATCAATAGTCTTTAGTTCACCTGTAGCACTTCTTGAGGGGTCTAGGTCCTGGGTAGGGGGTCAGGATGTTCGTGGCTTTAGAGCTTGGGGTATACTCTCAGGTTCAGGGTATTCATTCTTGCATGATGATTTTATCTGCAACTCCATCAAGTCCCGGGTAGTTGAACCTAGCTTAACTTTAGGTCATGTTCTGTTTAAAGTACGTGCCTTTAGCCGGTCGGAGTAACATCCTCATGCTTAAGCTGTACTAACCGCTGAAGCCTTTTAAAGCCCTATAGAACCTCTATAAACGGAAAATCCCTGAAATTCAGGCTCTCCGGCTCTGCTGGCTGCTTGTGGCAGCTTTCCCGCCCGATGCAATTTGCTGTCCGCAGCCCTGGCGCAGGAGCCAGGGCTCACTTCCTGCTGTTGGGTGTGCAAGGTTAGTCAGAATATTAACAATCAATAATCATGATAATAGTCGTAATAATATTAGTTGACAGTACCGATAATAAGAGGCATAAAACAACAAGCAATCTTCTAACTGTCTGATTCAGGGGCCCATTTTGAGGGGAGGAGAAAGTGCTTCTTAGGGTTTTGAATGAAGGGGTCTTTGGTCTACAGGGTGTTACAAGGGGTTAATCGAGGGACGTGGTTTAGCGTTCATGGCTTAGGACTTTGGATTTGAGGTTCAATCGTTAAAGGATTTGCAGTTCACTGTTCAAGGTTCGGGAATCGGGGATGTTGGTTTCCACTTTATAGCAGGGGTGTTTGCTAGCGGGTGATTGAGATGTTTATTTTAGGGCGTAGGGCTTTAGGGTGAGGGGTTTGGGGCATTAGACGTTAAGCCGCAAAGCCCCGCGCTGCAACCAAAGACTCAAAGCCAGACCCCTCAGATCTTGAACCCCCGGGCTCCCACTATACCACACCACTTGTGGGAGTCTAAATCCCGTAGGTAATACCTTTGGAAGCTGCCCCCACCCTGTCATAGTGACTATAAGGATTATATTAGGGCCCTACTATATTCCGATTATACCACTATTACAGGGTGGGGGCAGCTTCTAAGTAATACCCACTTTGGGCCATTTGGAGCTGGGGCCCGGCTCAGGGAGAGCTTCGTTTGGGGCACCGGTCCCATTCACAGAGAAACGCTTTAATACATAGGGTTGTAGGGTGTATTAGGTTCAGTGGGTTTATGGGTTCCGTAGGGTTTAAGGTCTGGTTGGTTCGTTGATGGAGGGAGGGGAGTGCGCTATCAAAGAAGAGGAACAAAGCATTGGAAATGGATTGTAACTTACCCCCCAAATCGCTAGGGAACCATCCTGCTACTGGGGTTCCCTCTCGGGTTTATAATCTAAAAAATGGTTCAACTAGGAAGCATCGAACAGGGACAACAAGCTCCAAAGCATGTCCAGATTTGAGACAGGCCGTTCTTGTTTTCCGTTTCACAAAAAGCACTAACAGCCAAACCAAACGTAAGCCCGTTGACAAAGCAGCCGATGGAAGGATGGCAAATTGTGTGGAGGAGGCTTTTCCGTGTCTTGGTCACAACCCTAAACGCTTAAACCCAGGTTGGTGCTTGGGCACTCGTGTGCCTTGCCGGGGTCGCATCGATATATGTTCCTGTTTTCAGAGGCGGGTCGCATCTAGAGGCAAGGGTTTTCCTCAAACTAGCACAACTAAATTTTGTGTGAGCTTTCAGTGAAAGGACTAGTTTACGCAGTTTTTTCTTCACGAAAGCCAGGTTATGCAAGATAAGTCAAGACGTCGTGGATTGTTCTGAAAACGTCAACCGTGACCTCTGGTGTCTATATCATAATCAGTGAGCACCGCGCCATGTCCGGACTATTGAGCATCAAACTCTACGCGCCATGAAATTCTAGCGACCTGATCTTAAGTCCAACGATGTAGTCCCGCCATAAGTTTTCTGCAAGAGATTCCTGTACCGGTTCTTGTCGGAGTTCCTTCAAGGGTTAGACAACCCCTAAAAGCTTGAAGCCCAAAGCCTCAGGGTGCAAGGCTCGCTTCTGGATTTAAGGTAACTAAGACTTGGAGTTCAGGTTTAAGTTTTGGGGTTCTGGTGTTGAAGGGTTTAGGGTTCATGGGTGTGAGCTCGAGCCTTTAAGTGTTCAAGGGGTTAGAGGTTAAGGCCCCATGATACACCTTAATACCCATTCAGCGTTACAGCTGGCCTAACAAGCATACACCTGTCCCAGGTACATTGCTTTCATTCCCACAAGCGCCCTCTGGATCGTCCGCCTGGTCTCCGACGCCCCAACTTCCTTGAACGATTCGGATGGCGTGGCCTTTTGGCTTCTGACCACATTGGGCGCACCTCGGAAGGATCTGGTGCGTCGTCCAAAGTTTCTGTTGCAAGGGATTCAGAAGATGGTTAATCACTGCCTTCTGACAGGAATGTTTGAGTTGTTAAATTTGGGCTAGTGCCAGCTGCTAGCTATTTGCCCAAACTGGGCCAGGAATGCTCTAACTCTTTTCGGCTCGTTAGCGGCAGACCTGCATGTTGCCATGAAGCGCCCACGCAAAGAGGAACCCTGAACTTTAAAACGCCACAACTTTTCGTAGAAAACATGACCTTGAACCCCAACCCCAGACCGGTTGCGCCGAGAATTTACTATATGGGGCTTCTTATTCTGGCCGGTTGCTACGTAGGCAGGTTTTCACACCCGTTTCTATGTAAGCAAGCGCTTAAAGTTGACAATCCTATGATATCATTTCAGAACCTCTGAAACCTTACCTATAGCCGTATACGACTCTTTTAAAACAGCATTCCAAAAATCATTGCTCGTTTTTCAATCTCTCCGGCAGCTGGCCCTGAGGTCCTTTGCGGCGCCCTGGAGAGTCGATCGACCCTCGCGCGCCTCCGGAGAGCTGGAAAAGGGTGGAATCTATAGGGCCTTGATAGTTAGAATAGGGTTTTGGGGCCCGTTATACTATTATTTTCATAAAGAACCCCCCCCAAAATTTGCAGGGAGAAAGACTCCGAAAAACTGAAAATACGAAGAGGGGGAGTGAGGTTTGATCTTGGCTGATGAGTTCAGAAGGCGTGTTTCTTTGAGTTTGGGGTCTGGGAGTCCGGTGGTTTTGGGTTTAGAATTTAGGTGTATTTGGTTCTGCGTTGCATGTTTTTTTCATGGCGGAGCTTGTGTCTTGCACCTCTTCTCCGGTTTTGGAGCAGTTTCGGCACTATAAGGCTCGTTCCCGGCCCGGGGGCTTGGCTCCAAACCGTACCTCTTATAACTTATACTTAATTAGACTGGACCTTGAGTGCGCTTCTCCGGCCTGAATTTGCAGATTTGCTGAATGTCGGAAGAAATGCAGTTCGAAGGGACACCTTTCAAGACTTGCCGAAATCAGCAAACAAGTAAAGGACGCCCACCATAATTCATCAATAACCTATGCAACTCCCGTTAAACATGTGTATTCTCGAATTCGAAAAGCGTAAAACTTCATGAAGCACCCACAAGCCCAATCATGAGCCCATGAAAATATGTATTCCTATACAAAAAATGCCGCCGTGTCTTCCCGTCTTTCCAGGAGCTTCCGGGAAAGGGCAGGGAGGCGCTCCGAGGAATCCTTGGATGTCGGGGGCTCGGTGGGAATGTAAGTTTGAATGTGTCGTTCTCGTTTTCATGTTTCATGTGTAGGGTAAGGTTTTAGTGCAGGGTGTCATGATAAAAGCTTTACCTGGTCTTGTGTTTGTGTTTAGGATTTGTCAAGGTTTTTGGGGGGTGGTTTTAGGGGCGTATGGGCTTTTGGGTTCGGAATAGGTTTTTTTCCATGTGTTTTGTATGAAAGGAACCATGGCTCATCAGGGCCCTTAGTGTGGATCGTACTACTTGGAGGTTCTTTGTCTTATACGGTTTCGTCGGGGTTCAATGGCGTAGGGGGCTTATAACGGTCGCGAACTTTTCGGTTTCGTAAGTTTTCTAGTGTGCCGGTTAATCTGTCGGTTTGTGGTCCTAGGATCCTTTAGGATGTTTGGTCTCAGTGCGTTTATGGGTTTGGGCTTTAGGGTTTGGGGTCTGGATTTAGGGCTCAGGGTGGTAAGGGGGTTCGTTTTAGAGATGTCGGCGGCCCGGGTCAGGCTCAGGGTTCGCGTTTGCCATTAGGGGCCGCAGAGTTGTGTTAGCGATTGGAGGTTTAGGGAAGTAAGGTTCGATGGTGTCGGGTTTTGTGCGTAGTCAGGCTTAGTGGGCTTGAGATTCGGTTTTCAAAACAGATGACGGTTGATAATTTCTGTTTCATCCTACTAGCAGCGATCGCGCCGGAAATATGACCATACTCCTGGAAGCCTTCAATCCTCAACTGCGATTCTCCCCAAGCAACTCTGAGCTGGCAGAAACAAGAAGCGGAAGCCGCATTCTCGGTCCACAGAGCAATTGCAGCCCCAACAAACTTCCGCCCTAAAACGAAACTGCTCAGGTTGAGTTGTTGGCCGCGCCCTCTGCAGAGTCTGCAGCACCGGCCTCTGCAACAGGAGCTTATGTGAAGGGCTTGGGATCTCAGGGGTGTGCGTTACCGTTTCTCCTACATTGGACGAAACGGTAGGGTGTTGCGGAGTAAGTGATTCGTTGGGAAACTTGGCGATCGTATCTTCTGAATCTGTTGTTGTCATCCGTGGGGATATCAGGTGTATAAACCTTGACTCATGTAGGAGCCCGATCAAGGAATCCCTTGAGGTCAGTGTTTGGTGCATGGGTGTTAATGGAGGAACTTGATCAAGAAACACTTCGTTGTCAGGGCTCTGACAAGATAGCGCTGGGTATCCCTTCATCCTCTTCTGTTGCAGACTTGGACGCGCGTTTTTTTGAGTGTCGCTACATTGCCTACCGGTCGTGCAGCGGCTGCCAAAATGCTGAATTCAGAAGAGTGCTCCTTCAAGCATACATAGCAGGTGATTGCTTCTCGAAGTATTATAGGTAAATTGAACGTAGGGTCCGCAATTGCAATATACGACACTCTGCAAGCCTTTAAGTTGAGTACATCAAAAGGGGTCTGAACAGTTGGTTGATGTAGAGCCTCGAAGAGTAAACCTCGTCCCATCACGAGGGATGCTTCTCAGGATACCAATGTTAAAACCCCTAGGTTTGCCAGGGGCTAGCATCAAAAGGTAACAAGCACCTAACAACCCTATGCAAACCCATATAAACTCTGACACAAAGCTGCACGGATCCCTACACATCAAGTACAGCCAGTCAACGAATCAAAATCCACGCAAACCTTCAGTGACCTACCCTAAACACTAAATCCTGAACCCTAAGTATCAAACTCATGATCTTGGAGACAGGAGATTCGGCAAGCCCCGGGCCCGATGCTGGGCGGAAGAAGGAGCGGTTGGGTTCTTGTAGACAAGGTTTGAAGAAGGGTCTTTTCATGTTTGGTGTTTATTTTGATATAATTCCCCAATAGCCACCGGTCCGTCACTTGCCTGGTCCCCGATTTTGGGGAAAGCGCCCAAACGTCTGGGCAGCCAGTGTCCCGGTCTTTTGTCAATTTGGATCGGTTTCCCGGTCGTGGTGTCTGGGTGTCGAGTTTCGGTCCGGTCGTGTGTCTTGTCGTGGTCTCCTGGTCGTGAACCGGTCATATGATGTGGTCAGTGTCTTGATCGTGTTCCGGTCGTGTGTCCCGGTCGCATGTCCCAATCGTGTCTCCCGATCGTGTGTCCTGGTCGTGTGTCTAGGTCGTGTCCCGGTCATGTGGTCTGGTTCGCATCCCGGTCGGTGGATCGCTCGCATTCGGTCACTGTGCCGTTCTTGTCTCGTTCGGTGGTCGTGTGACATGTCCCGGTCGTGTCGTGGTCGGCATCTTGGTCGTATCCGGTCAGCTGGTCAGGGCCGATTCCCTGCCGGTGCATCGCACGCATTCGATCAGTGTGCCGTTCGTGTCTTGGTCGGTGAAGCGGTCGTGTTTCGCGGTCGTGTCCCACTGTTGTGAAGCTCGTGTGCCCGTCATTCGCTCAGTCGGTGCTTGGGTTGGTGTCCCGGTCGTGGGTCGCGTCGTGGTTGGTGTCTTGGTCGTATCCGGTCCGTGCGTCGCTCGCATTTCAGCAGTCACGTCTTGGTCCGTGTCCTGGTCGTGTTCCAGTCTTGTAAAGCTCGGTGTGCCGGTCGCCCTCCCCGTCGGGGTTTGGGTTGGTGTCCCGGTCGGTGTACCGATCGTTTATCCCGGTCGTTTCCTTTTGGATCCGTGTCCCTCTCAGGGAAGCTGGGAGTAGGGTTTAGTTTGATTTAGTGCCAGGTTGTTTCCAACACCTCGCCAAAAAACTGTGTTACCGTCGCAGTGCCGTGCGCATTCTGCCATAAGCTGCAGCAGCCGCAGGAACAGCATGTTCCAAACATCCGTTTGGATTTCCAAAGACATGTGGTTTAAGTTTAGGAGGATTACGCTATACAAGCTATTCGACCTCTTGGTCGTGTCCCGCTGTTGTGAATCTCGGTGCGCCTGTCGTTCACTCAGTCGGTGTTTGGGTTGGTTTCCCGGTCGTGCAAGAAGTGCGATTTGCTGCCGTTGTTTGTGGTTTCGAAGTGGTGCCCCAGTGCTAAAAAGTACGATTTGTTGCCGTTGTTTGTGGTTTTGGCGTGGTGCCCCAGTGCTAAGAAGTACGATTTGCTGCCATTGTTTGTGGATTCGAAGTGGTGCCCCCAGTGCTGACAAGTACGATTTGTTGCCGTTGTCTGCGGTTTCGAAGTGGTGCCCCAGTGCTGAAAGTAAAATTTGTTGACGTTGTCTGTTTGTGGTTTCGAAGTGGTGCCCTAGTGCTAGGAAGTACCATCTGTTGCCGTTGTTTGTCGTTTCGAAGTGGTGCCCCAGTGCCTAGAAGTACGATGTGTTGCCGTTGTTTGTGGTTTCGAAGTGGTGCCTCAGTGCTAAGTACGGTTTGTTTCCGTTGTTGGTGGTTTTGGGAGTGGTGCCCCAGTGCTAAGAAATACGATTTGCTGCCGTTGTTTGTGGTTTCGAAGTGGTGCCCCAGGGCTAAGAGGTACGAGTTGTTGTCGTTGTTTGTTTGCGAAGTGGTGCCCCCGTGCTAAGAAGTACGATTTGTTGCCGTTGTTTGTGGTTTTGGAGTGGTGCCCCAGTACTAAGAAGTATGATTTGTTGCCGTTGTTGTGGTTTCGAAGTGGTGCCCTAGTGCTAAGGAGTACGACGTGTTGGCGCTGTTTGTGGTTTCGAAGTGGTGCCCCGGTGCAAATAAAGTACTACGATTTGTTGCCGTTGCTTGTGGCTTCGAAGTGGTGCCCCAGTGCTACGAAGTACGATTTGTTGTCGCTGCTTGTGGTTTCGAAGTGGTCCCCCTGTGCTAAGAAGTACGATTTGTTGCCGTTATTTGTGGTTTCGAAGTGCCATGGCGCCCCATGCTAAGAAGTACGATGTGTTGTCGTTGTTTGTGGTTTCGAAGTGATGCCCCAGTGCTAGGAAGTACGATTTGCTGCCGTTGTTTGCGGTTTCGAAGTGGTGCCCCAGTGCTAAAAAGTACGATTTGTTGCCGTTGTCTGTGGCTTCGAAGTGGTGCCCCAGTGCTAAGAAGTACGATTTGTTGCCGTTGTTTGTGGTTTCGAAGTGGTGCCCCAGTGCTAAGAAGTACGATTTGTTGCCGTTGTTTGTGGTTTTCGAGTGGTGCCCAGTGCTAAGAAGTAGGATAATTGGTGCCGTTGTTTTTGGTTTCGGAGTGGTGCCCCAGTGCTAAGAAGCACGATTTGTTGCCGTTGTTTGTGGTTTCGGAGTGGTGCCCCAGTGATGAAAGTACGATTTGTTGCCGTTGTTTGTGGTTTCGGAGTGGTGCCCCAGTGCCAAGAAGTACGATTTGGTGCCGTTGTTTGTGGTTTCGAAGTGGTGCCCCATTGCTGAGAAGTGCAATTTGTTGCCGTTGTTTGTCTCTCTATAAGTAAGCAAGCAAATAAGTATGTATGTATACATGTATCATGTATGTCTGTACGTGTGTATGTATGTTTGTATGTACGTATGTATGCATGCCCTAAAAGATTGCCAGGCAACTCATTCTCACCAAGCCGACCTAGCGCCGAAAGCCAAAAACGAAACCCAGATGCATGTATGTAGGGTTGCTGCAAGCGTAAGGGACGGCAGCAACCATCTACTTTGCACATTGTACTGTTTTTACTTGCTTTAACATGGGCTAGCTTTTGTCGGCAATCCTCCGATTCTTTTCGAGGGCGTCATTGTTTTGCGTTGTCTTCCTCGTGCACTGTGACATGCTGCGGGACCGCAATAGTTGAGAGACGTGTTCCGCGTTGCGGTGCGCGAGGCTACGATAAGCTATGTCGAAGTGCTTCGTTGAAGTTTAAGTTTGGATTGTTGTGGTCGATGACCAGATGCTTCAGCAGCTATGATGAGTGGGCTGGGGCAGGGGTGCAACATAACACTCAGTCCTGGTCGTTGCTGTGTGGTGCTATTGTTTGGCATCTGTGAATGAGCACATGCCGTTGGCAGGACGGCCGAGGAGTTGCAAGCGAGGGGATCTGAACGCATCGGCCTCACACAACATCTCAGAGGTCTGTAAGGCATCCGCGGGATAGGCTTGTGTTTTGGCTTCTGCATTTTGTTGAGGTGCCCGAGAGGAGCGTGCCGGGCACTCGGAAGCACAGAAGTTAAGCAACCTTCTGTAACGAAGTGGAACACGGCGCTCAGAGGGAGTCGTTGGTATATATGATGCAGGGCTGCCACACCCCCCTCTCCCCCACCCCATGGTATCCTCCCCCCTTCCCCCCCGCACCCCCTGTGGTGTGGGGCCTGTGGTGGTACTCTTTTTGGCGCGACATTCTTATGTGTTACTCCTTGTCTTCCCTCTTGCTGTGGCACCGGTGATACTGCTTATGATGTTGTGCTTGAGTCGACAATCAGACAATGCTCAACATCATCCTTGTCGTCGTCATCTTCATCATTAATACCTTCAAAAGACCACCATCACCATCGCCATACAACCCTCATAATTCAGCAATGCAATTCATGTCAGATGCTGGAAACTACTGTGCCGATTCCCGCTTTCCGCACACGGCAGGGCATAGTGCAACACTCCCGATCCGCACACACGGTCAAGGGGTGGGCAAGGTGCGGGCCGGAGGCGGGCCGGGGCGGGCAGGGCGGGTGGGCGTGCAGCAGCAGGGCAGCAGGGGGGGTGGGGGGGATTGGGGGGGGGGTGGTGGTGGCCCGGGACCCGAGAGCATATATGTGTGAATGGTGCCGAGAGCAGCCTTCTCATCCTAAGCAAACAACACGCGCGACGGCATCGATCTGTGCTACGTCCGTATACACCTGATGCAATTTGTATTGCATGGTGGTCTGTGCAAAAGGTCTCATATACATATGTGTATATCTACATATATAGGCTATGATAGGGCATCGCGATACCTCCGTGCAGTCTGCTACATCGCAATAACACGTGACATCCCATCCCAGATGGTACATAAGGCAATCATTTTAGCATCGATGGTGTTGGCCTTACTGCATGGAGAAGAAAGAATGCTTCTTGTCCACTCTGCTCGCAAAGCCTGCCCGCTGCAGCTCTCTTTGTGATAGTCACGCGAACTTGTGTAAAACTAAGCGGCAGGTCAACGGCCCGGTGCAGCAGATCCTTAAGACCATGCAGGAAACCCAGGCCTTTCGGCGGATGAGTTCTCCGAAGACAGTGACCTGCTGTGCAACAGCAATCGCAGCCATGCTCGTGGAGATGCCGTCACCATCCCGGGAGCCAGGATGCGTACACGAAGATCTTCCTCGCAAAAGCTTTTGGACATGCTGAAGCGCAGGGGCCCTGATCCTTGCAGCATTGGCGAGTTTACCTTGACGCCGTCGTAGCCCGCACCTGCATAGCTGTCATAGTTCCCTGGTGAGGCAAGACCGTGGTCTCCTCAGGCATCGAAACGGGGCATTGGAGCAGACTGCAACCGCGTGCAAACAGCCTCGCACCTCAGGTCATGACCAACAAGAGACCGAGCTCTGCTGAGCTGTCGTGTTAGACTAATGTCGCCTGGTGGCCCGGCGATTTGAATGCCGGCATTTGTCAATCCGGCCAGCCCGTCGATCGCATTCACTGCAAAGCAGAAAATGTGGTCTGCAGTGCCCTTCATGGCCCATGGGTGTTGTCCTTTGGCCTCTAACGACCAAACCGCATCTGGTCGAAAATTTTTCGAGTTGGAGTGACAAGGTTTAATGTTTCTAAACACCTCGTGACCTCATTGCCCAAGAGCTCCTAAGCGTACGCAAAGTTTGTACCCTTGCCCACACGGTTCACGTTCCAAACGCAGCACAAGACCTGGATAAACAACCTGCTTACCTTAAGCCACTTCCAAGCGACACTGCCGTGTCGTGTGCTCTTAGGATCTCTTAGGACCCAGATCGGCAGCCCTTCATTAGTAGTTCGCAAGCGAACCGACAGACATCGTCTGTCTGGCTGTGTCCAAAAATCTACAGCGACAGCACATGTCATAATACGAAGATCATCCATATGACCTGACACAGGTTCGAGAATCAGAGCCGACACCCTAAAACCCTGCAAAAGGTCCTGCGCAGCGGCTTTTGGTCGAGCGGTTTCTGCAAATTTAAAGGTTCGGATACATGACGTGGATCGTGCGCGATATCGCTCTTCTGTTCAAGCAGTTGCAGGTAGCGACACAAATATTTCAAGCATGTGTTGTCGTCTTGATAACATGTTTCTGTTGCCACACTCCTGGAAACTCACTTTCACACCCGCGGAATTCGTATGGAGTGTAAACATCCAGCAAGTATGACGCTGTCCTGTGGGCTACCTGCGGTGTCTGGCGGGGTGCTCAGTGACTAATCATGCGCAGTCTTAAGCTCCTGCTAGGTTAGATATACCCAACGGTCCACAGGCGTAAGTCGTAGATGGCGAGATAGTGTGGGTTCGAAGTGGTGCCCCAATGCTAAGAAGTACGATTTGTTGTCGTTGCTTGCGAAAGGTGCTGAAAAGTACGATTTGTTGCAGTTGTTTGTGGTTTCGAAGTGGTGCCCCAGTGCTAAGAAGTACGATTTGTTGTCGTTGTTTGTGGTTTCGAAGTGGTCCCCCTGTGCTAAGAAGTACGGTTTGTTGCCGTCGTTTGCGGTTTCGAAGTGGTGCCCCAGTGCCAAGAAGTGCGATGTTTTGCCGTTGTTTGTGGCTTCGAAGTGGTGCCCCAGTGCTAAGAAGTACGATTTGTTGCCGTTGTTTGTGGTTTCGAAGTGGTGCCCCAGTGCTAAGAAGTACGATTTGTTGCCGTTGTTTGTGGTTTTCGAGTGGTGCCCAGTGCTAAGAAGTAGGATAATTGGTGCCGTTGTTTTTGGTTTCGGAGTGGTGCCCCAGTGCTAAGAAGCACGGTTTGTTGCCGTTGTTTGTGGTTTCGGAGTGGTGCCCCAGTGATGAAAGTACGATTTGTTGCCGTTGTTTGTGGTTTCGAAGTGGTGCCCCAGTGCTAAGAAGTACGATTTGTTGTCGTTGTTTGTGGTTTCGAAGTGGTCCCCCTGTGCTAAGAAGTACGGTTTGTTGCCGTCGTTTGCGGTTTCGAAGTGGTGCCCCAGTGCCAAGAAGTGCGATGTTTTGCCGTTGTTTGGGTTTCGAAGTGGTGCCTAGTGCTAAGGAGTACGATTTGTTGCCGTTGTTTGTGGTTTCGAAGTGGTGCCCCAATGCTAAGCAGTACGATTTAGTGCCGTTGTTTGTGGTTTCCAAGAGGTGCCCCAGTGCTAAGAAGTACGACTTGTTGCCGTTGTTTGTGGTTTGGAAGTGGTGCTCCAGTGCCCAGAAGTACGGTTTGTTGCCGATGTTTGTGGTTTCGAAGTGGTGCCCTAGTGCTAAGAAGTACGAGTTGTTGCAGTTGTTTGTGGTTTCGGTGTGGTGCCCCAGTGCTACCAAGTGCTGTGTGTTGCCGTTGTTTGTGGTTTCGAAGTTGTGGCCTAATGCTAAGAAGTACGCTTTGTTGCCGTTGTTGTGATTTCGAAGTGGTGCCCCAGTGCTAAGAAGTACGATTTGTTGTCGCTGCTTGTGGTTTTGAAGTGGTCCCTCTTTGCTAAGAAGTGCGATTTGTTGCCGTTATTTGTGGTTTCGAAGTGCCATGGCGCCCCAATGCTAAGAAGTTCGATTTGTTGTCGTTGTTTGTGGCATCGAAGCGGTGCCCCAATGCGAAGAAGTACAAATAATTGCTGTTGTTTGTCGTTTCGTCGTGGTGCCCCAGTTTTAAGCAGTACAATGTGCTGCCGTTGTTTGTGGTTTCGGCGTGGTGCCCCGGTGCTACGAAGTACGATGTGTTGCCACTTGTGGTTTGGAAGTGGTGCCCCAGTGCTGGGAAGGACGATTTGTTGCCTTGGTTTGTGGTTTCGAAGTGGTGCCCAAGTGCTGGGGAGTTCGATTTGTTGCCGTTGTTTGTGGTTTCGAAGTGGTGCCTTCGTGCTAAGAAGTACGATTTGTTGCCGTTGTTTGTGGCTTCGAAGGGGTGTCACGGTGCTAAGAAGTACGATTTGTTGTCGTTTTTGTGGTTTCGAAGTGGTGCCCCTGTGCTAAGAAGTACGAATTGCTGCCGTTGCTTGTGGCTTTGAAGTGGTGCCCCAGTGCTAAGAAGTACGATTTGTTGCCGTTGTTTGTGGCTTCGAAGTGGTGCCCCAGTGCTAAGGACTACGATGTGTTGGCGCTGTTTGTAGATTCGAAGTGGTGCCCCAGCGCTAAGAAGTACGATTTGTTGCCGTTGTTTGTGGTTTCGAAGTGGTGCCTGAGTGCTAAGAAGTACGGTTTGTTGCCGTTGTTGGTGGTTTCGGAGTGGTGCCCCAGTGCTAAGAAGTACGAGTGGTTGCAGTTGTTTGTGGTTTTGGAGTGGTGCCCCAGTGCTTAGAAGTACGATTTGCTGCGGTTGTTTGTGGTTTCGAAGTGTTGCCCTAGTGCTAGGAAGTACGATTTGTTGCCGTTGTTTGTGGTTTAAGTGGTGCCACAGTGCTAAGAAGTACGAGTTGTTGCCGTTGTTTGTGGTCTCGAAGTGGTGCCACAGTGCTAAGAAGCAAGATTTGTCGCCGTTGTTTGTGGGCTCGATGTGGTACCGCAGTGCTAAGAAACAAGATTTGTTGCGGTTGTTTGTGGTTTCGGAGTGGTGCCAATTGCTAAGAAGTACGATTTGTTGCCGTTGTTTGTGCCACCACTTCTGATTGCTATTGGGGGTCTTGTGCATGAACACTGCTGGGTGTGCCGGCTGCAGTAGAGACCCTGTGGCACGTTGAGCGCCTGCTGTTCTTTGCACCTGCGCACAGGCACCAGGGTTTAGGGTCAGTGAGCTGCCGCTGGCGCTTGAAAAGCCGCAAACTGTCCTGCCGTGGTGTCAACTTTGCGCTCAATCAAGTGCACACGGCTGAGTTTGGATAACGTGGCTACTCTCAATGCCACCGTCGGTCTTGCCTGGTTGAGCCAATCCAGGCAAAGTTCAACGAGACTTACCAAATTCGTGTACCCACAACCGAACAGAAGCCCATAACCTCTGAGCTGTTTCCTAACCCCGGCAATTTGGAAGCTCAGCAGTGTAATCCAGAGCGAGTACCTTGTAGTAGTGATACCATGATATCTCCTTCCAGCCCGTGCATGATTCTGCATTGTTACGGTGTTTGAATGTATCCCAAAGCCTTAGTCGGATTGTTCGGGCCTGTTTGTTGGATTAGATCCAGGGTCACAGGGCCACGGGGAGATTGCAGTTCAGGGTGTAGATTTCGAGATATTCGAGATTCAAGTCGTGGAGTTCAAGGCTGCAGGTGGAGGCAGCTGAAAGGTTTACAGTCAAGGGTCTGTTTGGGTTTCAAGACGCTCTGGAGCCTGAACCAACCAGAGACTACACTTTGCCGGAAGAGTCCTCAAGGTAGAGCCAACTTGCCCGCAATCCCTTTTACCCTTACGCCTCAAGCCTTAAGCGCCAACCATACACCCATGTTAAATCCAAAACCATCTGCAGGACTCAGTGGTCAAGCTCTTGGAGCTTGTCGGCCACGAGTGGCCCTTGTTGATACAGGCGACTCCGATAGCTTGTGTTTTTAACTTTTTAACTCCATGTTGCTTTAAGTAAGGGGTCCTGCAAGGGATCCTATAAGGGTTCCTTTAAAGGCTCTATGAAGGATTAGGGGTTTAGGCAGGTGTCTTCGCGGGTTTACGTGAGGCGTAAGTATTTTAGCATAGGAGCATGAAGCATCAGCAACAGCATTCCTTCAACACAATCCGAACGCCCTACTCTAATTATGAAGGCCCCCTACACGGGCTTCCGGATCCCTGAGGCTTGGTTGGAAGGGTTGCTTACTCACTCTTACATCGGTCTTGCTTGGCACACCCTGCCAGAGCCTTGCTACTTAAGGTTTAGAGTTTGACCGTCTCCATACGAGGCATCGTTCTTCCTGGTCATTGCGGCCATCGCAGATGTTCTCATCCCACACTATGTCGGGGAGACCATCAACGAGATCATCCGCGCAGAGGATCTAATCTTTCAATAGGTGTTGTGGGGTTCTATAACTAGATCCCCTCTCAGAACCGACTTGCTGGGGTTCCTGAGCCTCGAATTAACGGTGTCTAGCACTGGGGGTTGGATGTGCGTAACAGGGTTTCGTTACAAGGCACTGATACGCAAAATAGCACTCTTGGAGAACCTGCACAGGATGAGCCCTAGACCTCCTCGTTACGGGAGGGGGGTTGCGGAATCATGGTTCTGCATTCAGGGATCCGCCATGGATCACCGAAAGCGCCAGCGACAGAAGCCGAAACTGTCATGATACTATTGCTTGTCACGCTGCCAATAAGCCTCAACACCCTGAATCCCTGAGCCCTGAACCCTCAACACCTACACCTTAAACCCTTCGACCCTAAAGCCCGGTCGTATGGAACTTAATCGACAATCCCTCGATGATCTTCATTGTCTTCCGCCGAATGGCTGACTGGCGGTATGCGGTGAGACATGTAAGCTTTTTCATTCAACACACTGGTAGGCTAATTTTATCATGAATGCCAACTGTCACCGTCAAATGCGGGAACCCTAAACTCTAAACCCTGAGCACGAAACCTTTGAGAGGAGCGGGGCACTCTCGCCTCCCGACCTTTCAAGCAGCCGGTGATCCTCCTCCTGGTGGTGGCAGCTGCTTCCGCCATCTTTTCAGCGTGTCGCGGTGTCCCCCGGAAGCTGGGAGGGTTCAGAAGTTTAGGGTTCACAGCTCTGAAGCATTCTCCGTCGGTCTGGGATTGATGATTGCGAACTTTGTGAGTTTAATGGGGGCTGCCGTGTTAAGCCTAAGTGCAAGAAGTGTCTTATGGCCCAAGGCAACCTTCATCATGATCGGCGGGCGAGTCCCTGGGCTTTGAAAATTGATATCGGGAATTCAACGGACTTCGGCTTTAACGTTTGGGGCTCAGGGTCTTCTTCGATTGTAGTCGCTCCACAGTCTAAGGCCTTAGGTTTGTCGATCTCGCCCTCAGCCTGTCTATTTGTTTGTATGTCTATCTAGCCATTTATCTTTGTTTTCTATATTTTTATCTGTCTGCCTGCCTGTCTGGCTGGCTGCCTGTCTATGTGTTATGTGTCTGTCCATCTCATTGCCTATTTGATTATTTATTTCTCTAGTTAGCTGTCTAACCTCCTGCCTATCTACACGTACGTGTGTGCATGTGTGTCTGTATGTATGTATGTGTGTATGTATGTATGTATCCCTGTGCTTCCTCGACCATAGTTTTTGGGGTGGTTGCGAACCACCCGGTTTGGGCCCCGAGCGCCCCTACTTTTCCCCACCTGATGTTGTAGATCATGTAACCACAACTTTATGGAAACCACCCTATTTTGCCCCGACACAGTAATCCACAATATCAATGTCAACCACCCTGTTTTACCCTACACCGACATAATGGAAACGACCCCGATTTATCCCACCAAGCGGCTCCCAACCCTAGGGTTCAAGGTTTGGGGTTTTGAGTCCCCTGAAACCCTAAACCCTCAAAACCTTGCTTGTGGAACCGCCGCTAAGCTGCGAGTTCACGTACCGAGCCCCAAGCCACACGATGTCCCAACTCCATATATAATTTCAGCCCCAAGCTTTAAGGCCCTCTAGTCCCGCCCCGCATGTAATAATATGATTTAGAGAAACAGCCCTGCACTTACAGGGTTGATGTCAGGGTTTTTTCCGGCTCGCCATGGGTGTGCCCTCGATTTTCGCTGATGTCGGATGGTGCCCCAGGGTCTCGGTTCCTGTGTAAAACTGTGCACTTTCCTGCACCCAGGTACATATGGATTTTGGCGGGCTCTCCTGGTGCCGATCTCCGAATTGTTGGGCTGGTGCCCGAGAATCTCGACTTTAGAGGTCTAATCCTAGCGATTTCTACGGGGAGCGAGGTACGGATCGATGATTTCTGCTGGCGCCGATCGAGGAGATTCCGTTGGTGCCCAAGCTTCTGGCAGGGAATTGACTGAGAGTACTGATCCTGAGGTACGGTCTGATGATTGGCTATGAAAAAGGCCTTGCTTTCTCGCAGTGATCCCAGCTGCTCGGGGAGGGGTTTCCACGTGACATCGATGCTAATTTTCTGTTGGACTCAAGGTCTGGATATTAAGAATGAGATCGTGGAAAATGAGACGGACTCCGGCGGTTGCCCCGGCCAGTCTTGACTTAGTGCATGTGGGTAGTATGGAGGTCATGTCTTACTAAAAGCAGCTTCCGGGCGGTTGCTGGTGCTCAAGAGCTTTTTTTTCTCCACGCATCAGCACTGCTGGTGCCCTGGTGCTGCGGACGCCGAAGAGCAAGCCTCCGTCGCTTCGGGTGCGTTTTTTGCAGGCACAAGGGATTGGGGAGCTGGTTTCCAGGGGGGTTGCCTACCATTTGTCTGTCAGGAGCTCTACACCTCCATCCTGGAGGCCAATGACTACCAGGAGAGAAGGGTCACGGAGCTGTGCAAGCTGAACAATGTGCGAGCCGAAAAGATGCAACGGCTGCTGAAGCAGGGGAAGGCCCTCTTGCAAACACAAATCCGCAAATCTGGGTAAAGCCTTAGCCCTGTAAATGCTGCCACAAGCCTCTGAAAGGCTCCGGTGGTGTTTTCCTTCGTGAACCTCCGGGGCGGAACCATCGGCCGGGATGAGGTGCTTAGGGTTCTGGGGGTTGTGGGCTTTCGGACCTTCAGATCGCCAGGAAGATTTCGTCTTATGGACCATATATTCAATATATTCGATCCTTAACCCTGAGCCTTAAACCGCAAACCCTTAGAATATTTGGGACCCCAAATACCCAGCCCGGTCGTACTCGGTTTAGGGTTTCCTGCTTCGGGGGTTGATGCCCAAGCCCTTAAACCCGGCCCAGGTCGAGGACGACTGCAACGCGAAGCTGGTCGCGAGGCTCCTGACGACCCTAGGCTTGAGGATACCCACGTCTGCCGAGACGAAAGCAGCCCTTGAGAACGTCGCCAGCGATCGCAAACTTCTGGGAAAGAAGTGTTCTGATGCAGCCCGCGAGGCAGGAAATTGTTCACGCCGAGCCGCCCAGCGGGGACTTGCACAGGGCCCTGATGTCGCACGTCATGGACCGCAGCCGCCGTAACTCTGACACCAGGCCGGCCAGGTTCGGTTTTCTTGAGAATCCCTCTCTTTTCGCTCTAGACCAAAGGACCGGCAGCAAGAACATGGGCCTTCTCAAGAAGCTGGTGAACACTTTGCAAGAAGAAAAAGATCAGGACACCGAATAAGTGAATCCAAACGATTTGTAATATATCACCTCGCACTCTGATCACAGGAGAGAAAGATTCCTGTGGAAGACCCCAATCGGCTGCCGACCAGGGAGTGGGGAGACTTCTCGGAAGGCTCAGGCGGGGTGGCGGTTTAAAGGGTTGGGAATTCTCCGACTTTGAGCTCTACAGAACCCTAACCGTAAACCCCAATTGATCCAGTATGCAAGTTTGGGATGTGATAGGATCGGTTAACTTCTTTAAGCCTTGAGCCCAGGAGCCCGAGCTATCACGAACCCCCAACAAACTTGCCCCTAAACTTCCGGATCTCCTGGGTCCGAGATTAAATCCCCGCCACAGGACCCGCTGAGTACTTGGACGACGAGGACATGGCCGACCACGCTCAGGAGGGCGGTGAAGAAGAGGAGATGGATAATGATGCAATCATTCCGGACCCCGACGACCCTACCGGCTTCCCAAAGACCCCTTGCAAGCCCCATGCCCCGCCGACGCCGGTGGACAGCGACACCGAGGCAGCTGCAGCCGAAGAAGCCTTAGGAGAAGAAGCCGAAAAGAATGCCGATGCCCAGAAGGATTGCTTCGGGGCGGGTTGTGGCTTTCGGATCGCAGTGCCCTGGCGGGTTTGTGCAGGATTCCATTCAGGATTCAGGCTTTGTGCTGTCTAGGCATTCGTTGCCTTAGGAGTACATAGTGCTGAAGACTTGTCATGGGCAGGAGCGAAGAGGTATGAAGAGGCCTGCAGCCTCAGTCAGTCAGGGACTGCAGCAGGCGGCCGAGAAGCTGCAGAAGAAGCTGGCTGGCGAAGAAAACGTCCTCCAGGTGCCCGGGTGTGCTTTGTGGCTTTTGGAGAATTGAGGAGGTGCTGCCCAAACCCGACACCCAGAACCCAACACCGGTACATATATGGAATGTAAGGGTCTTGATGTGTTCCAAAGCCTCTTGTCAAACCCTTAATTTCCAACAACCGAGCCCTAAAACCTGAAGTAGCGATAGCATGCGGTTGGATGGATTGGGTGCAATTGCACATAACTGCTGCCTTTCCGGCTGCAGGGGTGCACAGGGCTCAGCCATGGCGAAATATTTGCGGTCGAAGTGGGGGAGGCCCCCACCGCCCCCCCCCTTACAGCCCCCCCCCCCCCCCCCCCCCCCCCCCCCCCACCACCTCCGTTGGCACCGCCGCCTCCGCCTCTGCCACCTCCCCCACCTCTGCCCCGTGCGCCGGCAAGCCCTCCGAGATGTCTTCCGCCCATGATTGGGCCTTGGCCTATTGCGGCGAGCACACATGTGCCGAGCACAGAGGCATTGGCTATTTTAAGCTAGGGGTTGAAAGATTCTGGGTGTAGGGTGCATGTATTTATAAACTGCAGTTAATCCCTGCAGGATGAGCCAAGTCCTCCGAGAGTTGCTTGGCTATTCTAAGCTAGGGGTTGAAGGATTCTGGGGTGTAGGGTGGATGTATCTTTCGCTATAATCAGTTAGTCCCTGCAGGATGACCCTGCAGTGGACTCGACGAAGAAGCGGCCAATCGCTTTGAAGGCTGGGGCAATGAAGTTTTCGGGTAAAGTACAGGCTTAGTGCATGCTTTAGGGCTTCAGGGTTTTGTGTACACTCAGTCCTTCCAAGGATCGGCCAGCAGTGGAGGGGGACTCGAGCTCCGAGGGAGGGCACACCTCCAAAATCAAGGCTGGGACATTTGAGTTTTCGGGTAGAGTCGAGGGCTTAGTGACTTAGTGCAGGCTTTAGGGCTTCAGGGTTTTGGGCTTCATGTACGGGCTTTTCCGTTGGGTGTGTAGCCCTGCAGGAGCCATCTACAAAGAAGCGACGCTTCGCTGGTGTCTACGAGATCGTGGCTCGGATATATCAGATCATATTATATATTGTAGTTTCCCATAAGCCTCCCATACCAGTCCTATAAGGTAAAGGGGGTCTTATGGGAGTACTCCGTCAGGGGCTTCTATATAATAGCTGGGCCCAGGATGATTCCGCTTCCGAGCATGGCGAGAAGGATGTGAAGGACAGGGACCTCGCAAACCCGCTATACAACCACCGATATCCCTAGATCCTTAAAGCCACCCGAACCCCGAAAACCTATATGAAAGCCCAAACACCGAAATCCCTAGAATCCACCAAACCCCTAAAGCCTACCAAAGGCCAAGAAAGCCTAGAAGTACCAAATCCCCTGTAAACCCCCAACCCAGGAGCCAGCGGCTGACTCGTCGAAACCGGCTCTGTCGCATGAGTGACGCAAAAAGTTTCACTGCCAGGGCTAGCTAGCTAATGCCCGAATTATAAAAGCCGACAAAGCAGCAATTTGGAAATCTCTATCATGAACCAGGAAACCGTAGAACCCAAACATCATGTGGGACTATGCTATAATGGATTCCGCAATGTCTCCTTCAGCCCAAAGCCTTCGGCTCTACAAATTTCTAAAAAGTCCTGGATGTTTACTTATCAGCTTTGGCCCCGGGTTCTAAGTTGGATCGGTTTTAATCGTGCTCTGGCAGGTGCAGCAGAGGATCCGGAATGCCGCCACCTTGTCGGAGGTGCAGACAGACGAGGCAGTGCAAGGGCGAGGCAATCCACGCGGTCGCGGCCGTGGCCGCCGTGGCCGTGGTCGTGGACGAGGCCTCGCAAGGGGCAGCAAGGACGACCAGGCTGTCAAGGCCGAGGACGACGATCTCGATGCAGAGGACGAGAAGGCCACGAATGAGGTACTTTTGGAGGAGGCGGAGGACAAGCCGAAGAACAAAGCGAAGGCAAAAGCAAAGGGACAAGCGAAGAAGGAGCCGAAGGCGAAAGCAAAGGGACAAGCAAAGAAGGAGCCGAGGGCCCAGGAGAAAGTGGAAACGCCCGCCAGTGTGGAGGAGGACTGTCTGTGGCTTGCAATGTCCAGTTTTACAAATAAGCTCGAATCGAAGCCAACATCGTCCAGGCATGCAAGCGAGTCACGTCGCTCAGTGCCTACCAGAAGGACCAATAAAAATAATTTATAAGGGTCGTCGAACGAATAACCGAACACCCCCCTCGCCCGGGCAGGAGAACAGGGACCGCAACATCCGTGCCATCCGGGCCATTGCCAAGGACGACAGTCGCATGAAGGTCCCCTCCCAGGATGTCCTCGACGAAACTATGCAACTCGCATGCATTATGCCCAGTGGCTGCGAGCGAATCCAAGTCTTGGCAGTGTGAGCACCAAGGTCCTTCACGTGTCGGCTGCCGCAGCAGAGCAACTCGCAATCTACGATTGCTGTTCTGTTCCCTGGCAATTAATATCATGGAGCTTACAGTTTGACTTCAAATCGCGATCTCTGCTTGGAACACAGGTTTCAGCTTGGCTGCTTCTATGTCAACAAGACCTCGCTGCCTCACATCCAGAAGTGCAATCGAGCCTGGAAGACAGACGTCAAGGCTAGTCAAGAGGATCCTTTATCGATAATATTTTCCACGATCGCCCGCTCAGGTGAACAAAAAGAAAGGATCGAACTTCTGTTGGACCGCTCACAAAGGATTCCGGACAGCGAACGGAACTCAGGAATTTCCCAAGCTTGCCTGCATTTCACTGTGAGCTCAAACCCCCCTCCTCCGAGGTGGCACCGTGCATGCATCGCTGCGAACTGGAATGACCTTGAGGAGGCCAGGCTTATTTGGGAATGTTGGTTTTGGGTTTTCTCTCGGCATTGAAGCCTATGGGCATTACAGTGCTGGGTTTAGGGTTTATGGGTAGTTTCGGATTTCATGGCTTCGGACCTCCAAGAGTCATTCCGGAAGCCTTTGAAATCCTCAAACCTACTATAAAAGCTTAAGACGACCCTAAACCCGAAACCCCGAAACTCTAAGTCTAGGGTCTGTGGGCTTCTAACCCCAAATAGCCACCCCGTCCCGCATCAGCGAATTCATCACGATCTTCGAGATCCGTGGGAGCCCTAGTGGGTTTTCAGAATTGGATTAGGGCTTCGAAGGACTGGGGTTTCAATTATTATGACCTTTCGCTGTTCTGGGTTGATAGGTTTAAAAAGGGGTTCCAGGGAGTTCTTGTCGGATCTGCTAAGGATTTCGGTCTCTAAGCTCAACCCCAAACCCCAAACCCAAACTTCAGGGCTTATTTGGGTGTACACGGACGAAGTAACCACGCCCCGCTTTAGTCCTGAGATCCATGCCCCATTCCCTACTATGATCAATTTGTCGATTCCAAAGGCCCAAGACCGACAACATTTAATGTGATGCCAGGGCCCGATTAAGATCTCCCAGGGCCATCCACGTAGATATAGTTGAAGAAACGTTCCTCGGATGTTGCAATAAGGATTTGGGGAGTTCCGGTATTTTCGGGTTGTGGGATTATAATAATTTTCTTTGAGCTTCCAAGTACGGTGAGATCAGGTGTGCGGGGTTTATATATAGATCTGTCCCATCTGATTTTTGGACAAGGGTATGATCCAGGCTTTACAGAGCTAGGGTTGGTGGTTCCAGGACTTAGGACGGAATTAACGGCTTGATTTTCTTCAGGTTTTAGCTTCAAGGTTTTCGGTGCCCTAGGGTTAAAGGCTAAAGGCTTGAGTGTCAAGGTTTCGGGAAAAAGGATTTGGGGGCCTGAGGGTTTGAGGCCTTAGGCGCTTAGGGCTTTGCCGGATTAGGGGTTTGGAAGGCTGGCCAGCACCCAGCTGGGCGGCGATTTTGGGGCATCCAGTGCGGCGACCCGGAGAGATTGGACGAACCTGGAGAGATCCGAGGAAAAGAACGCTTCCCGCATCGACTCAGTCGGGGACCTGGTCGAAAAGCTCTGCGAGCTCCAATTCAAGCTCGAGCTATACCAAGCCTTCAACACGGCTCGACCCCGTTCCATTCGACACGCCTCAGATCCCACGACTCCGGACCCTATCGAGGTCATGAGCAAACAGCAGTGGGAAGACCGATTCTACTGGTGGAAAACGACTGGCGACTTCGCAGCCAAGCATGATCAGCTTGAGCCTCTTGATATAGGGTTTAGGCCGGGTTTAGGGTTTAGGCTAGTCCTCGCTCAATTCCTGTAATCCGAGAGCCCGTAAGCGACTCTGCTTCGAAGCAGCTGGATCCAAGCCTTAAACCCTAACCCCTAAACCCTCACCCTGACCCTTAAACTTTAACCCCTAAACCCGAACCCTTCAACCCCAAACCCTATGGCGGCCACGAAGCAACATTGTGGATCCGAGGCTTGAACCCTAGGCCCTAAACCCTGACCCTTAAACCCTAACCCCTAAACCCGAACCCCTAAACCCGAACCCCTAAACCCTAAACCCTCAATCCTAATCCCTTGTAAACCCTGAACCTGAAAACCCTAGACCCTATAACCGTAACCCCTAAACCCTCAACCCTAAACCCTAACCCCTAAACCCTATAAGCCATGTTGCCTTAATTAATGGCGGCCAGGCAAGCGAGACGCCGAAGAAGCCGAAGAGAGGGCGCCAGAACGATGAGGCCCGATCCTGGGACATTGGATTGTTTTTATGGGGTATAAGTGTAATTCCATTGTTTTTGGCGGGTATAAGGACCGAAGGGCTTAGGGGTACAGAGCATTTAACATTTCTGTTGTTGGTTGTGTAAGGCCTTGACACCAAGCCTTGAACCCTATACCACACATAGCAAACTAAGGGTATGCGCCGGGAATTATTTTTTTTTATGATTATATATAAAATGATTTAGGGGGTTTTCCCGTTTAAGATATTGATACGGTTCTGGTTACGATTTCACGAAATCGTATGAACATCGTATCAGAACCGCATCCAAACCGTATCCAAACCGTATCCAAATCGTAAACCATGTCAAAATCGTATCATAATCGTAACCGGAAGGATCCTTGAAATCATAGCAAAACCGTAACATTAGTGTAAAAAAAATTATTCAATGAAATGCCAGTTTGCTAACACTCTGGGAGTCACAACCCTAAAGCCTTGAAACCGTTATTGCGGCCAGGCAGCCGACACGCCGAAGCGGCCCAAGAGCAGAAAATGAAGGAGCAGGTCCCATCCTGGGAGCAAAGGGTTCAGGGGCTTTAGGTGTGAGGTTCGGAGGATTTAGCATTTCTGGTGGTGGTGGTCTACGGCCTTCACACCAAACCTTGAACCCTTAAGCCTGTAAACCCTGCTCTTAATGATGATTAAGGTGTAGGGTTCGGATGGTGTCGCTGATGAGGGAGATGATGGCAGCCATGATGCATTGATTGACACTTTTTTGTTACGTGAAGTTTTGCGGCTCAAATTTGCTGCTGAAGTGTAGGCTGCCGGATCTGGGTTTAAAGCCATGAACACTGGAGCGTACTTTCGGTGCATGGAAGCCTGGACTGAGGCTCAGAGGCAGCTCGGGCTGGTGGATCAACGCTGGTTGAGCAGCTACGCCGACGAGTTTCAGATGCTTCCTCCCGACGAGAAGAGTTGGTGGCACAATGAGTTCCACGAGCACTTTCTGGGCTCGGGAAAGAAGGTGTCCAAGCTGACGCTCCAGCTGCTCTCGCCGTTGGCGGTGCAAGTTCATGGGCTGCAAAACCCAGAGACGATGAGCAAGCTGCTCGAAGGAATGATGGCGAGGGCCAGCAACTCACGTCATGTCTGGATTCGCGAGCAATGCGATATATGGTATTCCGTGATGTTGGAGGTGCACACCATTTCTTCGCTATGCAGCATCTTGGCATTTAATTATATATATAATTTTTTGTTTAATTTTAAAGATCAATACGTGAGATTTTTGCTGGACTCTTTCATTCAGCATGTGTTACTCAGGCCCGGTCTACAACATGCAATTTGCAACGGTGCAGACGATCACCCAGTTGCTGCAGCAGATGGCGCCGCCCCCTCCGCAGCAGGTGCCAGCTCCTGTGCCAGTCGCACAGGCAACCCGATGGGGTGCACGTGGTCCTCATGGAGCAGGTCCCGCAGGACAGCCGTGAGAAGGTGAAGAGTGATGCCGGATTCACAGCGGTGAGGGAGCAGGTCCCACAGGACAGCCGGGAAAAGGTGAAGAGTGATGTGGGATTCACAGCGATGAGGGCTGGCAAGCTTCTAGCCGGCTGGCGTTTTCTGTGCGAGGCGTGTCAAAGGCCTCATGCAAGTCTTTTCATATCGCAAAGCGATATGACCTTAATAATCGCATTGCACCGGTGGCCGGTGCGGAATCCGGGCTATGAAAGGACGCACCTCCTAGCCCGCCGAAGGAAAAAAAGGTGTCCCATGCTGTGCTGGCTGACCCGGTGCAATCACTATTATAGATTACCTTTTGCATCCTGCAGGACCATGCATGGTTATATATCATCCGAAACCTTGAAACCCTAGACCTGGAAGCTGGCAAATCGCCTGAACCCTGCTGCCCTTAAGCCTTGCTCTCAAAGAAGCCCTTTTGGGGGGGGGGTGTTTACAACTCCAAAACTTAACGAAACTAGAAAGCCTCAAACTAAACCCTAAAACCCTCAGAGAAACCCTTCTGGAAGATACTAATCCCGAAACCCCTCAAAGGACACCCTTGTGGAAGATACTAATCCCGAAACCCCTCGAAGGACACCCTTTTGGAAGATCCTGAACCCTAAACCCCTCTTAAGAGAAACCTTCGTCGCTCGCCAGGTCAGAAGCCAGCCGAGCCGGCCGCAGCAGATGCAGTCGCCGAAATCCTCGGAGGAGCCCGATAGCCCGAGGGAAGCCTAAAGCACGCACCAAAGCCTAGACTGATGGGTATTGGAGGCCCTTAGCCCGAACTTGTTCCAGCCCTCCACACATATACGACATCGTCCAACCTGTCTTGAAGAAGCAGACCCAAAACCTTCAGCCCAACTGTTCTCGTGGTGTACATAATAAATAGCGGTTAACCCTGTGATACATGCTTTGCTGCAGCACTGTGCTCAAAGCCCTGGCTACTGTTGGACGGAGATCCAGCAGGTCGCTAGCTAGTGTTGGGCGGAGATCCAGCACCTCGCCTCGAGCTCTCATGGTGGGATTCACCAGAAGGGTCCGAAGAAGAAGGCGAAAAGAAAGGC